CCATGCCGACGGAGTCGGCAATCTCGTAGAGGGAGGGGCAGAGAAGGACATGTTGGCCACCCGCGTGTCGAAGACGAGGCGCAGGTTGACGCCGCTGGACTTCTCGACGAAGAAAAAGCCAGTAGAGTAGGTAGCCTGACGATCGGCGACCTCCCACTCAAGCATGCCAGCCTGGTCCAGGCGCAGCAGAAAATCAGCATACTCCCGAGGGCGAAACCGAAGGCGTGGATCCACATAGGGCGACCCAGTCCCGACTCTTTCCTGAGAGCAGCTGCATCAGCAGGGTCACGTAGCATTTGATGCCTCCACCCTGCCAACATAGAACGATCAGCTTCAGACACGAGGTCGGCCGTCGGGACAGGCGCCACGTGCTTCGGCCAGGAGACGAGCTCCTTGTTGTAGGGTCTTACCCGGGACTCTCCAGAGTACCCAGGCGCCGATGCGAGCAACTCTGCGAGGGCTGCCTCGCATCTCGGAGGAGATTCGGAATACCCAGGATGTAATTTAAAATCGCGATACTGTTGAGCCAGATACTCCTCAGCGTCACTACGAGCACGCGGAGGAAGACCAGGAGGCGGGCTGATCACATCGTTCGGGTCGCAGTGGTACATGTCGTTGAGAGTGGACACCGCGTCGTTGTACCACTCCCGCCACGCAGCACCCCTGGCGGCCCGTCTGCGTGCCGACCCGCCCATGGATGAAGTCCCCGATCTTCGCTCCACAGGAATAGGGCGGAAGGGGGAAAACGTCTCGCTGTCGAAAGGGTGGTGCAGCGAGGGGGCAATGAACCTGGCTGGCGCCACTGTGGCGCGCCCCACAGCCAGGCCTGAAGTTCTCAGGCGTCATGGCGCCCGCAAGGCCCGCTCCTCGCGAGCCTTGCGGCGCTCTTTGCTGATGGCGGCCTCCGCCCTCATCTGGTCTGCGATGTACTCCAGCAACTTCGGCGAGATGCAGAGATTGGCCTTGGAGACACCTGCGCCGAGGAAGTAGCTGGCCTCAGGCAAGCTGGAGCTCCCAGCTGAGGCGCCGACTCTGGCCGCGGCCTTGGCCTTGGGGGCTGCGCCACTCGGAGGTGTCGATCGCGTCTCGTACACCCGCTCCTCCAGGAGCTGGAGCTGGCGAGCGATGATCTCGAACGATGCCATCTCGGCGATCTGCAGCTGATCGCACGCGACGGCGAGGTCCAGGACGCGGCAGAGCGTCTCGTGCAGCTTGGCGTGCTCGTCCTCGTCGGGCAGGGCCATCGACGTGAGCCACCTCTGGTGCCACGCGGCGGGCGTTCCCCCCATCGTCGACATGAAGGACAAACGCCAGAGGAGGGTCCTCGGGCCTTGCACGGGCCAACCCTGCACAGGGGTCTCCGAGAGGGCGTTGACGGTTTCGACGAACCTCCTCTCGCGCTCGCCCCTCGGGTTGAGCAGCATCGGGAGGACCCTGAAGTCGCCAACGGGGGCAGGCGCCCCAGGGGCGGCGGCAGCGGGCGCAGCCTCCACTGCAGGTGCGGGCACCAGCGGCAGAGCCCCTGCAGGCCCAGGCGGGGCGGCCCCCAGCGCGGCGGCCAGCGCAGCGACGCCAGGGGCGACGCCGAGAGGGGCCGCCGCAGCGGCCGCGGCCGCGGGGGGCATCGCCAGCGGGGCCGCGGCCCCCGCAGGCGGCGCCGCCCCTTCCCCGCCAGGGGGTGGCGGCAGGGCCGCAGGCGGCAGGGCTGCGGCAGCCGCAGGGTCCGCCAGCGGGAAGGGACCAGGCGGGACACCTGCCACGTTGCCCGCCGCGAGCGCCAGCGGCAGAGGGTCGGGGGGCCTCGGGTAGCCTGCGGCCACCGAGCGCGCGACAGCCGCCCACAGCTCCGCGGCCGTCGGGAGGCGGCGGAAGCGGTGCACCGCGACGCCCGCCAGCGCTGGCGGCGTGTCGCCTTGGCCCGCGAGCTGCAGGACCGCTCGCACGTCGGGGCCGACGACGATGGGCTCGTCGTAGTCGTCGAAGTCGGGCGTGAGGATGTAGCCGAGGCCCCCGTTGACGCCAAGCACGAGGCGCTCGTGCCACAGGGGTACGCCGCCGACGCGGTAGCGCAGCACGTGGAAGCTGCCCGCCATCACTGCAGCGCAGGGGCGCGGGCTCTGGCGTCACGGACCTGTTGAGCAGCGAGGGCGGCGATGTCGATGCCGTCCCGTCCACGAACTCCACCACGGCGGGCGGCTGGCGGGCTGACTGTCCGAGAAGCCGCCGCGCCGCCCAGGCGCCTCCCACGGCACCGAGCGCGAGGCCGATGGTCAGCGCGGCCCCCGAGTAGGCCGTGACGAGGCCCAGACACGAGGGCTCGACCACGTGCCCGCCCGCGCCAGCGCAGACGCAGGCGGGGCAGGAGAGGGTCGGAGGCGCGGGGCAGGCCAGCTGTGGCGAGCAGGCCCCGCAGCTCGGCGCGGCGGCCCGCGCCACGACAGTGGCCCCCAGCGCCTGCGCCCCGTACCTCAGGACGTCCGCCGCATGGTGGGCGATGTCTTGCATCACTGGGCAAGACACCTGAGAGACTTGAGAATGGAAGCGCGGCCCGAAAGAGAGCCACACATAGCCGCGGGCAGCATAATGATGAGGATGATGGTGATGGTGATGATGGTCAAGTGGAGGAAGGGAGGAGGAGGAGGAGGAGGAGGAGGAGGAGGAGGAGGAGGAGGAGGAGGAGGAGGAGGAAGAGGACCAATGCAAACCCAAGAGTCATCAACGAGGTTGGAATGAACCCTCCCTCCAAGTTCCCTCTTCATAGGCCCCTACAAAAGTCAATTTCCTCTGAGGGAACTGCCTCGTTGGGATACAACCGTTTGAAGACCCTGAAGCGTGCCAAAACACTATTCTCGAGACCCCCACGCCAGGGATGAACCTGACAGCTGCGTTTTGACGATCCAGAATCGTGCCAGAATACCATTCCTGGGACGTGAACACCGCGAATCAACGTAACCATTGCACCCTCAATCCTGAGTGCTTCCAACACACACATACACACACACTTTCTGGTACGTTGACCATGGGAATCCGTGAAGTTTTTGCAAAGTTTGAATCACATGCGCGCGGCGCTAATGCGAGACCCACATGTTGAAAACAAGCCGCCCTCAATCCGTGAAGCTCCTGCAATGTGTTGTACGAAATTTCGTGGCATTGGGGCGACACCAACATTGTGAAAACGACCCGCCTTCAATCCATGAAGCTCTTGCACATGTTAAGACGAATGTGCGCGGCACTAACACGAGAACTACATGTTGAAAGGCACCCGCTGCAATCTGTGAAACTCTTGCAACTGCTTCAGACGAGTGTGCGCGCGGCGCTAAGGCGGGAGCCATATTTTGGAAGCGACCCGTCCTCCATATGTGAAGCTGTTGCAAGTGTTTGTGTACGAATGTGCGCGGCGCTAAAGCGAAATACACATGTTGAAAACCACCCGCCCTCAATCCGCGAAACTCTTGCAGATGTTTGAAACGAATGTGCGCGGTGCTAATGCGAGAGCCACATGCTGAAAGCGACCCGCCCTCGATCTGTGAAACTGTTGCCATGTCTTAGCTTCAGGGTCATGAGTGGTATTCGACCAGCATCGGGGTGCAACAAGAAGGAACTAGTTATAAGGAAAATGACTGGACGAGATGCAGGAGAGGGTGGAGGAGGAGGAGGAAGAGGAGCACACCTGACCTTCAGTACAACGGAATAGGGGTGAGGGGGGGATGAGGGTGATGAGGGTGAGGTTTAAGATGTAGATCGTAGTGTACCTGTCATCGAAGTTCACAATGGTAATATGATGAGGGGGATGAGGGAGGCAAGAGGATGAGAAAGAGGATGCTGGATGATGATGGTGGGGTCCCAGGCGAGGAGGACGAGGCGGACCATAGCCGCCAACTGCCAAGCGATTGAGGCGTGTAAGTGGCAGAGTGCAGACAGGATATGACCTCGTACCAGGTATTCATTCATCCTACACCTCTTTTATACCTTTTTCCCCAGATACTCACACATCTATTTTCCATTACTCGTTACTTTCTCGATCATACCAATTACATCGTACTGCGTTGCACCGCCACACGGGGGGCTGCCCGCCACAGGGGCGACCCTCGCTGCGAGCTCGCGAGGTGGTGGAGCTGGGCGCCACCGAAGCCTGGCGCGCCGCGCGGCGACGGCGCATGGCTGCGGCCGAAGCGGCGGCGTGGCGGCGCGGCGGCTGGGCCCCTGCCGCCGGCGTGCAGGGCCCCACCACCAAGTACATCGTCACAGAGGTTCCCAATTCGTTAAAGCGAGATTGTATACAGCCTCGGCCTGCCAGGCCACCAGGAAACCAGGCCGGGACTCATCCCAACGCCAGCGACGCTTACGGCGACGATGGGGCTCTCCGCCTGCCTCCCGACATCCTGGCGTGCGCCAACTACGCCACCCTCACAGCCCCCTTGCCCCACGCCCCCCACGACGGACCCCACGCCCCCCCAGCCACGCCCCGAGTGGCCGCATGCCGTGAGAGGGAGCCCGTGGGGGGCGTACCTGGGGAAGCAGCCATGGGGGCCGCTGGCCAGGCCAAAGCTGGCGCCGCCTGCCCCGCGGCGGGCTCGGCATCCCAAGTGGCCGCACGCCCTGAGAGGGAGCCCGCGGGGGGCAGACCTGGGGAAGCAGCTGTAGGGACAGCCAAAGGCCACCCCCCGCAGCCCCCCACCCGACCCACCACCACGACGGCTCCCACGACCCACCACCACCACGACGGCCTCCCACGGCGCCCCTGGCGTACATTCAGAACGGCGCTCGTAGATCCCTGGCCAAATCCCGATTCATCCTGCCTGATGCCGCTGTATCTGGCTGGGCTCTGGGCTGAAATCCGGCCTAATCCAGCTCAGTGGCCCCTTAATCGGGGTTTACAGCCCAAGAGTTGCCCCCCAACTTCCCCCCTCGGCGCGCCGCAGAGAAAAGACCGAACTGGATCGCATCGGATAGAATCAAACCGCGAGCAGCCCTGCTTCCCCCCTTCATTCTACGCTGGCCTCGGCGTCGTCCAGCAGCGGCGCGCGCTCGACGCCCAGCTCCGGCGACCGGCCGCCGCCGCCAGCCTGCTCGGACGCGGAGTACATCGCGGAGTGGGCGGCTGCGCCCTCCCAGTGCGGGCTCCTGGTCTTTTTAAGCCCCGAGTCATCCGGGCAGGAAGTGGTCAAAGATAACTCTCCACGCGGGTCCCCCAATTTCGCGCGTCCGCCCTGGATTGCACTCCACCTGAAGTCTCCCGGATCACATTCTGCCCCATGGGGATACTGTCAACTGTTCTCCGGGGACCTGAGTTATGCTGGATCCAGCGGCTCCAGCGTTCTCCCATCAATTTTTTTGGGGGGATTATTTGAAGGGAAACTGGGACACACAAATAAATACACACAAATAAACAGATTCCCCATATTTTCCTATATTTTCTGGGTTTTTGTCTTCCCCACCACTTCCCATCTTTTCCCATATTTTCTGGGAGATCCACGATGAATTGTGTCTGTGTGTGTTTTTCCCCTCCTGATTATTACCATACATGGCCCTATCCGGACCAGAGAGTCTCGGGCCGAGCTGTGCTTGGTGGCGCTCACACGAGGGGGGGGGCGCGAGGGGGGGAAGACGGCGGGGGGTGCTTCCCAGCAGGCCGGGGCCCCCCCGTGGAAGGGCCCCGCCGCCTCACGCCGTGGGCGTAGGGGCCCCCCCCGTGGAAGGGCCCCCGTGGAGGGCCCCGCCTCTCAGAAGGCTCCTTTTGGAAGCTTACGAGCACTTCCGAGAAGGCCCCCTGCTCTCTGAGAGACCCCCCCCCCTCCGCCTTTTCAGAAGGCCACCCTCGTCGTGCCACCCGCTTGTTCCTCCTCCTCCTCCTCCTCCTCCTCTTCCTCCTCCTCCTCCTCCTCCTCCTCCTCCTCCTCCTCCTCCTCCTCCTCCTCCCCCCTCCCCATCCCTCTCCCCCTCCTAGGATCAGGACAAAACCGGACCAGGTCAAGTCGGGGAATCGGGGATCTCTGTCATGTTGCATCTTCGGGGGACCTTTTCTGTTCCGTCGCGCCCCAATCCGCGTCGAATCCGTATCGAATTCATGTTCGACTCCTCGAAGCCACTCTGAACCCGCGTCGGGTTCGCGCCAAATCCGCCTCGATTCCGCATCGAGCCCGCGTCGGGCACAAGATAAGACGCCAAGCTTGAGGCACAGGCGAGGCCCCCCGAAGATGCAACGTCACCTCTGAAATCTGGCGGCTCTGGAAGACGGGTCGGGCGCCACGGCCGCTCCAGAGCGTTCCAGAAAGCTCTGAGAACGTCGCGGCCCGCCTGGGAATCGACGTGTCCCGGTCCGGGCCCGCCCGACCTGTACATCCAGCGTCGTAACAAAGATCGAAACGTACAATTTTCCTCGTCTTCTGAAGCAAGGACACCACTGCGACAGAAGACGGAGGTCACGATGGGGTGCCACGATGGCGTCTCGCGATGGGGGGATCGGGATAGGGACATGGGTAGGGATAGGGATCGGGATATAGGATAAGGACAAAAACGCCCGAGATGAATGGAGAGTGATATTGCCGGCAATTGGAGGCCACGGAAAGGCAACGGGAGAAAACGCCGCCCTTCCAATTCCGGATCTGACAATCCAATCGCTTGGCCTTCAATATATAAACAAATACCTATAAGGACTAGTCGGCCAGGGAAACAACTGCATAAGCATACACTTTCGGAGGTAAGCGCGGACTTCTTGGATCATCAGCGCAGGAGGACGTCTGCGCCGCCAGAGGGGTCCAGTGCAGATACACGAAATCAGCGCAGACCTTCGAAAGCTCATGTCTATGCAGTTTGGTTTGTTCCGAAGACATCGAGACGTCCAATTTTGTCCTCATCTTCGGCTTCTGGAGGCCAGCCTCAGGCCCCAAGGGCCGTCCAAACACGGCTCGGATGACAAACCAGCCCCGGGATCCTGCTGTCGAGAGGTCGGGGCCAGCGCCTCGCCAAAAAATGTCGATCCGCCGGACGTGGACTGTGCTTTCCTGTTGACATGCGCAAGAATCTTGTGCATGGCATCCGGAAATCATTATTCAGGGTGTCATCATGAGGGTGTGATCATTATTCAGGGTGTCATTATTCAGGGTGTCATCATTATTCAGGGTGTCACAAGATGATGACACCCTCATGAGGGTGTGCCTTCAGCCGGGGGCGTCTCAGGAGGCAGGGCCCCGAAGCTTGGCCCCAGGGACGTGCGCGGCCCAGTGAGGGCCAAGGGACCGAAGCAAGAGACGGGGGCAGGAGTGCGGGAAGACATCGTGGCCCCGGCCATGATGTCATCCCCCCCCCTCGCCCCTGCGCCTCACCCTCCTCTTGTGGCCGCCCCAGGCTCCGAAACCGGGCGAATCCTTGAGATCGGCACCGAGGCCCCGACGTCCGACGGCGCGATGTTCCCGCGTGGGTCTCCCGGAGGTCTGCACCCCTCCCCTGGGACCGGGCTTCCCTCCTGGGCGATCTCTGGGCGGTGCTGGGGCCCGGGTGAGGCTTCACGACGCGAAGATGTCAGGGCTAGAGGAGGAGGAGGAGGAGGAGGAGGAGGAGGAGGAGGAGGAGGAGGAGGAGGAGGAGGAGGAGGAGGAGGATAACACGGGCGCCGAGATGTCAATCTTGGGGGTCCCCGGCCAGCGGAGCTCCGGCGCCCGTGCGCCGGCGGCGGGGCGGGCGCGGCAGGGCTCGCGCCGAGGGCCTGGTCCCAGTAGGACCTGCAGGGCGGCGGGCTCGGTGCACACGCCCACCGCCCCGTGGCCAGGCCCCACGCGGGGCCGAAGAGGAGTGCAAAGGCCTCCCTGGCCACGCCATGGGGGGCGCACGCGTCTCGCAGCAGGTACTCTCGCCTGGATTCGGGCCCTGACCCGCACACAGATCGATCCGGCTCGAGACATGCCAGAAGACGATGGGGTCTCGGGCTCCGGTGGTGAACTTGTCTCGATGTATTTTGTTGGTGTTGTTGTTGGTGTTGGTGTTGGTGTTGGTTTGGGTGTTGGTGTTGGTGTTGGTGCTGCTGCTGCTCTTGTTGCTGTTGTTGGTGGTGGTGATGTTGTTGTAATTGGCTATTTTTCTGGTTGATGAACTGCGACTTTCTGAAACAATTTGTTGATCCCGCTCTCCGGTAACCATATATTTTTGTCAATTACACTGCTCCCCCCTGGCTCACACCTCAATTCTTACTAGGGAAAGCGAGGGGTCACCAAACTGCGCTGTTGGGCCCCGAACTACAGCAACAACGGCTCCCGCTTGATACTTCCTCACAATGTATTCCCATCTCGCGCGGGACTTGCTCACAGTGTATGCAGGAATCGCGCTCTCGCGTGGGACGCCCTCGCAATTTATTCAGACGCCGCGCCCTCGACACTCAGGAATCACGCTCTCGCTTTAGCTTTTCAGACCATTCACTGGGGAATCGCGCTATCGCTTGAGACTTCCTCGCAACGCATGCAGGACCCACGCTTCAGCAACCCGCCTGCTCGACCTGGTGGCCTGAGCCCGCCTTCCCAACCCGCCCGTTAAGGTCTACCCGCCTGATCTGCCTGTCTGGTTATGCCACGTGGTTTCTAGTTCTAGCCCCCCTTCCTGCTACTCCCTCTCGCGCTTACTCCTCCCTCCCCCTTGTCCCTCCTTGCATCCGTCTTCTCTTCCTCTGCCTTAAGGGCTGCACGAAGTAACAATTGCAGGTAGGGGAGATAGACCCCAAAAGGGGCACGATCGAAGACGACGAGGGCGGGTATCGAGGGCTTGGGATATACGCATTGAACGGCCCGCGAGCAGATAAAGCGAACAGTCTTAAACTCATTGTTGGTGTTGCTGTTGTTGCTGATGTTGTTGCTGGTGTTGTTCTTGGCGTTGCTGTTGTTGTTGTTGTTCGTTTGGTGTCGTTGTTGTTGGTGGTGTTACGGTTAGGTTTTTTTGCTATTGTTGTTGTTTTTGTTATTGTCGTCGTCGTCGTTGAACCCTCACTATTGAAGAATACTTATTGTTGATCCCCCCTCCGGTGACCATTATACTTTTCAATTGAAGTGCTTTCCCCCGGTGCTCGCACCCTGTTTTTTACAAAAAAATAACGGGGTTCAAACTGTGTCGTTGGCCCCTGGTTTACAACAACAACGGCTCCCGACTGATACTTCCTTACAATGTATTCCCTAATCGCGCTCTCGCGCGGAGGTCCTCACAATTAGTTTACGAATCGTTATCTTGCGTGGGACTTCCTCGCAGCGTATTCAAAATATGCAACCTCGGCACTCAGGGATCACGCTCTCGCTCTGGCTTTCCTCACGATTTACTTGGGAATCGCGCTATCGCTCGAGACTTCCTCGCGCATGCAAGACCCACGTTTCAGCAACCCGCCTGCTCGACCTCGTCGCCTGGACCCGCCTTCCCGACCTGCCCGCTATGGGTCTGCCCACCCGATCTGCCCGTCTGGGTCTACCACTTGTTTTCTGCTCTTTGTCCCCCTCCTGCTAATTTCTTTCGTGCTCCATTATTCTCCCTCCCCCTTCCACCCGTCCTCTCTTCCCTTGTTCTAGGGGCTGCACTAAGTGCACGTGGCAGGTAAGATCTACCCACAAGAGGGCACGATCGAAGACGACGAGGGCGGGTACCGAGGGTTTGGGATAACAGTATTGATTGGCACGTGAGCAGATCGGAACGAACAGTCTTAAACTGATTGCTGTTGTTGAACATTATTTCTTCTTAAGAATAATTATTGTTGGGACCCCTGGTGCACGACCCCCCCGCCGCGCCTAGGCCGCAGCCACATTTTCATCATTTTCGTGAGGAAGTCTCAGGCAAAACGATTGGTACCGGATCCGGTTGTTTTGTTGTAATCCGTTTTCCCTTGCAAAAAACACTATAAAATGAAAATTCTTGTTCTTACTTGATCAAATTGCAAGAATCCCTTGCAAAAAATAAGGTAAAGTGGACATTCGTGCGCGCAAGACGAAATCCTTCCAAAACCTTAGGTTTCGTAGCGATTTTAACATAAAAACATCAAAAACCCAATGGTTTTTTAAGAAAAAATTGTCAAAATGTCTTCCGCGCGCTCTTGCGGATTCGTAGGAAAACCAACACTTTTTAAACAATTCTGTCAAACGGGCTTTTGCGAGCAACTTTTTCGAACTTCTGCGACAACGGTTGCGCACCTGCCAGGGCCATCATCCATGTCAAATAATACCATGCGGGACACATTCGTTTTTTCTTCGCGCGCGCACGCCGAAATCTCCAAAAACCATTGGGTTTTTAAGAATTTCTCTCTCTCTCTCTCTCTCTCTCTCTCTCTGTCTCTCTGTACTATGTATGTCATGCGCAACAAATGCACCATGCGGGGCACATGCGGGGCCCAAACAAGTGATCAACCTCTGCGGGTGTGTACTCCACGCCAGTGTAGTATCCACGATCGTCCGCGCGCCACGAAGTGAAGTGTCCTGACGTCATAGGGCGGGAAGCTGGGTGTGGGTGGTTCCCGAGAGTCGTGTGGATGTTTGGTAGAGCTTGCATTGCCCCCCCACGAAGTGGGGGTATTGGCTGGCGTCGCATGAAAACCCTGGCACTGGGGAGAACACTGAGCGTTCGGGTAAAATGATTGTTGTTGTTGTTGTTGTTGTTGTTGAACATTATTACTTCTAAAGAATAATTATTGTTGGGGCCCCTGGTGCACGACCCCCCCGCCGCGCCTAGGCCGCAGCCACGTTTTCATCATTTTCGTGAGGAAGTCTCAGGCAAAACGGGTTGGTCCGGATCCGGTTGTGTTGTTACGATCGGTTTTCCCTTGCAAAAAAAGCTAAAGTGGACATTTCTTGTTCTAACATAACCAAACTTCAAGAATCCCTTGCAAAAAATAAGGTAAAGTGGACATTCGCGCGCGCAAGACGAAATCCTTCCAAAACCTTAGTTTTCGTAGCGATTTTAACATAAAACATCAAAAAACCAATGGTTTTTCAAAAAAAAATTGTCAAAATTTCATCCCGCGCGCTCTTGCGGATTCGTAGGAAACCCAACACTTTTTAAACATTTCTGTCAAACGGGCTTTTGCGAGCAACTTTTTCGAACTTCTGCAACAACGGTTGCGCACCTGCCAGGGCCATCATCCCTGTCAAATAATACCATGCGGGACACATTCGTTTTTTCTTCGCGCGCGCACGCCGTCGTCGTCGGCCGCGGGGCCCTGAATAGTAGCCACGGTCGTCCGCATGCCACGAAGTGAAGTGTCCGAACGTCATAGGGCGGGAAGCTGGGTGTGGGTGGTGGCGAAGAGTCGTTTGGAAATTTGGTAGAGCTTGAACCGGCCCCCCCACAAAGTGGGGGTATTGCCCGCCTCCTATGAAAACCCTGGCACTGGTGAGAACGGAGTGTCCCCACGTGCTAGTAATTGTTGTTGTTGTTGTTGTTGTTGTTGTTGTTGTTGGTGAAATCTCGCTTCTGAAGAATCCTTACACTTGATCCCAAACGCCCGGTGCACATTGTATTTTTTCGATTAAACTGCCCCTCTCGGGGCTCGCACCCTGTTGTTCTATCAAAGAAAATCTTGAGGCTCAAACTGTGTCGTTGGCCCCCGGTTTACAACAAAAACGGCTCCTGCCTGATACTTCTTCACAATTTATTGAAGAATCGCGCTCTCGCTGGGGACTTCCTGGCAATTTACCACCGAATCGCGGCTCCCGCTTGATACTTCCTGACAATTGATTGCGGAATCGCGTTCTCGTCGGGGCCTGCCCGCCCGCCCAGCCCAGTAATGACTGCAGTCGCCGCTCGCTCCCCTTCGCCCGCCTTCGATGCCCCTCGCTGCCCGTACTGGTTCCGCGGTCGCCTTCGCTCGCTGCTCTTCGTGGCCCCGTTGCTGCCCTCAGTGGCTCCGTCGCTGCCTTCTGTGGCCCCGCGTTAGATGCCCGTCGTGGCCCCCGCTCGCAACGCGCCCGTCGTGGCCCCATACGCATGCCCTTCGCAGCCCCGCTGTCGCCCTTCGTGGCCTCCTCGCTGCCCTTCGTGGCCCCTTTGCTGCCCTCAGTGGCCCCGCTGTTGCCCTCTGTGGCCCCGTATACGAATGCCCTTCGTGGCCCCCGCTTGCTCGCGCCCGTCGTGGCCCCATATGCATGTCCTTCGTGGCCCCGCTGTCGCCCTTTGTGGCCGCCTCGCTGCCCTTCGTGGCCCCGGTGCTGCCCTCAGCGGCACCGTCGCTGCCCTCTGTGGCCTCGGATGTTATGCCCTTCGTGGCCCACGTTTTCTATTCCCACGATTTACTTGGGAATCGCGCTATCGCTCGAGACTTCCTTGCGATTCATGCAAGACCCACGTTTCAGCAACCCGCCTGCTCGACCTCGTCGCCTGGACCCGCCTTCCCGACCTGCCCGCTATGGGTCTGCCCACCCGATCTGCCCGTCTGGTTGTACCACTTGTTTTCTGCTCCTTGCCCCCCTCCTGCCAATTTCTCTCGTGCTCCATTATTATTCCTCCCCCTTCCACCCTCCTCTCTTCTCTTGTTTTAGGGGCTGCACTAAATGCACGTGGCAGGTAAGGAAGATATACCCTCAGGGGAGTACGATCGAAGACGACGAGGGCGAGTACCGAGGGTTTGGGTTTTACGTATTGTTTAGCACGTGAGCAGAGAGGAGCGAACAGGCTTCAAATGCGTGTTGCTGTTGTTGTTGCTGCTGCTGCTGTTGTTGTTGTTGTTGGTGTTGTTGTTCATGGTTTTGTTGTTGCTGTTGTTGCTGTTGTTGTTGTTGTTGTTGTTGTTGTAATTGTTTTCGCGACGTCGGATCTCAGGTTGCGCCGCTCATGGGCCAAGGAACAGAATCCTGGGACCCGACGTCACAAAAGAAATACGCCACAGCAAAGAATCACGACCAGAGCCCTCGACCCCATCTCTCTGCGGCACCTATCGAGCCAGATCGATATGTAAAAACCCGAGGGCCCGAGACTGGGCGAAAGCGCCCAGCGCGAAGAACGATGCGACGTCAGGACTTCCAGGTGTATACGCCCCCCTGGCTTGGCATTTACACCGATCCTGGGCCCAGCATGGGCCTGGCCATGGGGCGATGGACACGCGTGCACGGACATTGCCGCCCGAACCTGACCACCTGCGACGTGGGCGCGTCCCCCGCCAACGGCGACGCCTGTTCCCCTAACGCAGGTTCGTGTCCGGGCGTGGGCCGTTTAACCCTGAACGATCGGCAGCTCTCGATCGCAAAATCGTTCCATGTTGGCCGATTCTGGGCCATCGGCGGCGTTCGGCCTCTGAACGCCCGCGGCGGGGCCGCCGGGGCGGCCTTGCTCGCACGCACGGGTGACCCTATAGGCAAGAATGACCCTTCGGTGCGCGGCTTTGGGGGGCCGCGGGTGGGCAAACATCCAAGCGCGCAGGCCTGTGCCGGGGGGACAGTACGGGAGCACTGCGGGCCAAGGCCGCCCTGGCAAGAGGCCACTCTCACGCGTATCGCCGGGCGGCCGCACCGACACGAACCTGCCGCAAACATACCTGGCGTCTTGGACAGGAGCCCCAGCTGGGGCTTCTGTCCAAGACGCCCAAACAGCGGAAGGCTGTTTGGTCCATAGCTCTTGGCCTCCCTGGTGTGAGGCCCTCGCGGGGCCGCCCACAAAAGAACAACCCAGGACTGTAGGGCGACGGAATCTGTACACATCCACCGCCGCTGGCCAGTGGCGGTGGATGTGCACAGATCTTGATTAGCAATAAAAGGACCCCCAATCCTTTGGGAGGCGACCTAAATTAGGAAGCCAAAAACATTAGGGATAGGGAGTCTTCTCGGCAGATGTATCAGACCAAACCGCCCATATTCGTTATCCCTGATGCAAAGACGGGGGCCTCAGTGAGACCATGTTTTCCTTATGCTGTTAAGGTTATTAAGGTTATTTTCCCAGGGCCGCCCACAAACAAGCAGCTCGGGACAAAAGGCTGGATCGCTGGGGATGGGGACACCAAAAGGCACCGATACCGCTGCACCACGGCCCTCTCTCTCTCTCTCTCTCTCCCTTCCCCAGGCTACGCTCTGACCAGAACTTCGAAGCAACTCCAAGCCGTCCCCAACAGGCCCAACAAGGCGAGACGGAAGCGAGGCGCAGGCGGTATCGGCACCTGCTCGAGCTCTGCGGCCTCCCCGGGGCCCGTCTTGCACTGCAAAGGCCAAGACATCGGATGTGCGCGGATGCGACGCGGGCAGCCGGCCAGCCTCTGCCGCCCAGGCCTCGCCCGGCAGCGGCGGCCCCCGCTTCGGCGGCGCCGGCTGCTGCAGGCCCGCCTCCGTCGACGAGGCGTACAGGCCCGCCTCGGGGCAACTTCGGGTGCCAGCTTGTGTGTACTGCAACCCTCGTCAAAATTAACCTCAAAACTGTCTGACGTGGTTGAACTGCTTGTCGGAAGATCTGGGGCCGAGTATCGATGATTGCGGGGTACTTGCATGCGCCGCCCCTCCAATGTCGGTCGACGTCAAACCTTCGAGTCAACTTCGGTCAGACTATCTTTGCCTTCGCCCCGACATTGAAGGGGCGGCGTGTCGACATTGAGGGGCGCGCCGAAATCGAAATGACGTGCCAGCAACTGTTGAGGTTTTTTTTCCACTCATTCTTTCGATTCTTCATGCCGAGGCGTTTCTGGAGCTCGAATAACAAGCCCAGAGGGTTCGCATCGATAATATACTGTATCATGCTGGTAGGATCTTCTTGGCAGCTCGGGCGCAGGTACTGTGCAGACGAACGAACTGTTGAGGTTAATTTTGACAGGGGTAGTGGGAACGCTCAGTGACGGACCAGCAACTGTTGAGGTTAATTTTGACAGGGGTAGTGGGAACGAAACCGATTCAGTATCACCGGGCGCGTTCTTTCCTCGCATCGAGAGGTCTGAACTCGGTCTGGCACTCGAGCTAGGTCCTCGAAACGAAGATGCAAAATGAAGAAAAAAACAGATTTTTCGACCTTTTTTCTTCACGCTTGAGAAAGCTTTGTTCGTGTGCCCCGAGCAGCGCCGCGCGAAAACAGAGCTCTAGACGGACCTTGCGGTGACATTGCCTAAGATCCTGGTGTCCCACTTTTTCGAGCTGGGCATTTCTGCCCGGCTTCGGGCCCCCGGGGCCCTCACAGATCGATCCCGCTCCGAAGTGGCGCGGGACGATGAGGTCTGGGGCTATGGCCGTGATGTGTCACGACGTTGCAATTTTTCCGAATCCTTCTCCTCCTCCTCCTCCTCCTCCTCCTCCTCCTCCTCCTCCTCCCTCCTCCTCCTCCTCCTCCTCCTCACTCCTCCTCCTCCTCCTCCTCCTCCTCCTCCTCCTCCTCCTCCTCCTCCTCCTCCTCCTCCTCCTCCTCCTCCTCCTCCTCATATGTCATGATATCTCAGGGAGGTGCCAAATTGAGGGTCCCAAGACCACCTGGCGACGGACTGGGCGGTGACATGGCATCCCAACAGGCCACTCGTCGCACGGCCAGTGACCGCACCGTTTTGGGGCCCTGGGAGGCTCTAGTCGCCCGAGACATCCCCGGAGAACGGCCCAAATCGCACAACCATGTGGTCACCCCGAGTCCCCCTTGCCCCACCAGACGGTGGGGTGACCGTACAGTTTTGGACGTCCGAGGCAATGCGGCTGAGATCCTATCTCAAGAGTTCCAGGGTCAGTGGCTGGAGGAGGAGGAAGGCCACGGGCACGCGCAAGAGCACATATGTGAGCATCTGGGGCCCAGACCAATGGAATGCCAATGATTGTGTAGCCTGGTGGAAAATGGGCAACTTGTCCTTGGAGGAGGCGAAAGTCGACGGTGACCGGGCGGCTCCGAGCCTGCCAGATCTTGCATAAGATGCATGTGCTGAGAAACGTTGCTATAAGAAACCTCGGGTCACGTCTGCCGTCGATCTTTACACTGATCCAATGGCTTCTGTGAGGTCCCCAGGGCCATCGGGGGATCATTCACCAGCCCAGCGGGCCAGAGGCGTGCTGACATCTCCGGTAAGATCTCTAAAATATATCTAGTTCGCCCACGCAGGGCGGCCCCTGGTGGTCCCCTGACGACAAGTACCCGGCAGGTCCTGGATTAGATATGTTTTTGTTCCCTGGGGCGTGGCCTCCAGGAGCCCAAGGACGACCCAAGTCAGCAGGACGCTCCAGGAACCGGCCCAAGACGATGCCAAGACCGTCCACTTGCGCTCCAAGACGGCCGACGATGGCCTCAGGAAGGCTTCAGAGGGCCCCAGGATAGCTCAATACCGCCCCACAATACTGCCCAACATCGCATCAAGGAGCCCAAGATGCCTCCAAAAGCGCTCCAAGAGGAAACCTGAGAAGGCCCCGAGGGAAAACAATTGATTTGTCAAAGGGTCCCTAAGGATTCTCAAATCATCGCCTTTTCGGGCATCCGTCGGCTCAAGACGGCCCCCAAAACCGTCAAGATGAGACCTCCCAAATCGCTCCAAGTCAACTCAAGAGGCTCCCTGGACGGCCACAGGACGGCGCAAGAGGGCCCAAGACGGCCCAATTGGCATCCCAAGATGGCTCCAGAGGCCCCCAAGAGGGACCCATGAGGGGGATACAGAACTGACATGCCCAGCCTGCCCCGAATCATGGCCTCCGAGACCGCCAACAGGCTCCCAAGAGGCCCCCCAGAGGTCCCCAGAGACCCAAAAGATTATCCCAAGAGGCCTCAGGAGGTCTCAACAATGCCGCCTAGACGGCTCCGAGCCGCCCCCCGAAAGACACCAAGAAGCCTCTTGAGGAGGCGTCTTGACCACGACCCCGTCTGGCCCCAAGGGCGCCCGAAGAAGCAATCGAACTCTCCTGATCCTCTTCCTGTCCTCCTCCAGTCCTCCTCCTCATCCTCATCCTCCTCGTCCTCGTCCTCGTCCTCGTCCTCCTCCTCCTCCTCCTCCTCCTCCTCCCCGTTCTCGCTCGCTACGAGGACACCAACAAATAGCAACAGTGACGCAACATGGACTGGCGGAATGAGCGACATGCTTAAACACATTACCGTGGGACGACACCTTCCAGAGGCCCCACGAGGCGACCCAGAGGGCCCCAAAAAGGCAACAATGAGGCCCCCGAAATGCTGTCCAAAATACCCAAGGCGCCTCCCCAAAGAGTCCTCGTCCACGACCCACTCTGGCCGGAGGCTCTCCTGCTCCCCCCACTCCCCTTGTGCAATGTAGAACTCCTGTCGCGCCGTCCGCCGTTTAGGCTCTCCTAGTTCGCCTTCACGACCCAACCTCTGACCCCGCGTTCCCCCAACAAGTGGGGCGGCGGTGTCTGCCCCCCCGGGGGCATTCAATTCAAAAACTTACCGTGGCCACTGCTGGCAGGCTGGTTTCTTACTTCCTGATAATCGTGTGTCCCCAGACCTCCTCATGAATTGTGTTTCAACCAGGTGTCTCTTGACCTCTGGGCCGCGTCTTGGGTACTGCTTCTTGCTCGCCCCAGATCGTTCATGGACGGTCCCGGGCCCAGAAACAGCCCCAGGAGGGAGAACACCAAAAACAACTCAATACTGGTATGTGCGCGACGTTCAAGCCCGCAGTATTTTGCAATTCACAACTCAATTTCGCCAATCTGTCTCCATTTCCTCCTCAAGCCGCTCCCGGCCGCCTGCGATCCGGGCGCCTCGCCAGCCAGCGGAGGCGACAGCTTCGACGACGGATGCGACCTGGCCTCGAGCGTGTCCAGCCGCAGGGTGTCGCCACGGCAGTCCAGCGGTGCCAGGTCGACCCACTCGTCCTCCCCGGGCAGCCACGACCCCAGGGACGGTGAGGTTCGCCCCTCCCAGGAAGGAGGAGGAGGAGGAGGAGGAGGAGGAAGGAGGAGGATCGACGATTGAGGCACGAGGCGCTTGGACGTTCTATTCCCCTGAGCCGCCACTTCTTGCCCTTGCATGTCAAGTGCGCGATTAGCTCGGCCACGGCCCAGCAAGTGCGCTTCGGGGTCCGCACACGTCGCCTCGACAGAAACGTGGTTGGACGTGTTCGTCCTTTTGGAGCCTCCGAGGGACTTCCCGTCAACACTGCTGGATGCCATCAGAATGTTTGTTCATAGCGCACCCCTGGACAGGTCTATAGGCCGACTTCTCGAGGGGAGGAGGGGACGAGGGGATGAGGAGGAGGAGGACGATTTTAAACCCAAAGGTCACCAAAGATACAGCACTACACCCTCCCGTCCTACGTCCACTTCCCATACGACCCTGCACGCCTTTCTTCTCGCGAAAAGAAGCGCTTCCGTGCAAGACCAACACCTCATGGGCTTGCACTTTCGGCGAGGGCCCCGATTTGAAAAGGAACTGCCTTGCATCATTTCAGGAGTCGACAGGGATGTGAAAAAGGTATGATCACACATGTCAGTGAGGAGTCTAGCCAGATCCCCGTTTTGAAAAAGGACTTCCCTTCTCGGCGTCTGTTGCCCCAGCTTGAACTTCTGGTCATGACCCCGAGGATGTCTCAAGCGAGAACCCACTTTTGAGAAGCGCCCTCCATCCGTGCAAATGCTACATGTGACCCAGATTCTGTTGTTGAAGCTCAAAGAAGTCTATTGCGAAACCACCATTTTGAAAAAGGAACCGTCCTCCACCATTGTAACGGTTGCAAGTGTTGCGCGGGGCTACGGCGAGAGACCAATTTTTAAACGACTCCCTCCATCCTCGTAACCGTTGCAGGTGTTTAAAACGAGTGCACGCGGGGGTAAGGCGACATAACCATTTTGAAAAGGAGTCCTTCTCCATCCTTGAAGCTGCCCCGAACGTTTAAGACGAGCGTGTACGGCGCTAAGACAACCTGTGCTCCATCCCTGAATCTGTTGCAGACTTAGAAGACGACTGTGCGCGGCGGTCCGGCGAGAACACCACTTTGAAAACGAACCCCCTCCATCCTTAAAGCTGGAGCAAGTTTTTAAAACGAATGTGCGCGGCGTTGAGGCGAGAGCCGCGTATGGAAAACGAGGTCTGACCCATCCTTGAAACTGTGGCCATGTTTCAAACGAATGTGCGCACCGCCACAGCGAGAGCTCCATTTTGAAAACACCTCCCGCTCCACCCGTACAACTACTGGAAGCTCCCGAAGCCTCAGGATCGAACATGATGAGGGAATCTTAGGCGAAGCGCCCAGCCCACCCTAATTATGGACACGTCTGGGGGGGCGACAAGGAGGTGGAGCCCCACCACTCAGGTCGGACACAACTGGAGGAAAAGAGGGGTTAGCGAGTCAGTTCATGAAGCTGGTGCTCCCGGCGCTTCGCGACGCTGGAGGTGCCCATGTATCGAGGAAGATGCCCGGCGGCGGGGCCGAGACCGGCTGCACGAGTAGATTACGTGACCCCCCGTCCAAATCCCCCCCCCTCGTCCGCCCCTGAACCAGACCCCCAGAGGCGCCACCAGGGGCTGCCGCCGACCCAAGAAATCCGCGCGGGCATCGGAAGAAAGTCTTCTTCGACGCCACCCCAACTGGCCCTCGCCTGAGAGGCAACGACGAGGGCGGGACCAGCTCAGGGGGAGAAACATCAGCCTGGAATACGCGATACATCGCAGATAGATCGGCGAATAGGCCCCCGATAGCGGGTCTGCAGGGTTCTGGGGGGTGTGGGCTATTGCGCCCTTATCGAAGATAAATGGGCGAATGTGTGTCACTGAATTCCCCCCCCGAGACTACCGCCCTTACGTTGTCCCTGGTTTATGATTTTCTCCCGAACAGCGTTTCGCCACAGGGTTCTAGTCACGGTCACAGAAAACACGAATTAGAAGAGTCCCACAACAGGGGGCGGGAGATAGGCCGACTGATCCGGCAGCGGTCTCGCCTGGACTTCCTGACAATTCCTGGTCTGGAGGGGCACGATGCTTCACAACAGAACAACGCTGAGGTGAACATGGCCGTGCTCACACCCCTGCCTCCTTATGGCCGTCCTCCTACTCCTCGACGCGCCTCCTCACCGTACTGACCCGGGCCAGCGCAAGCCCGGGTCAGCCACGGCCACGTCGCGAACCCGGGTCGGCCACGAAGTAAGTAGCTCCCAAACCCGCGTTGCCGCAGGGCGGGGGAGGTGGGATGGGCTCCAGGTGGCCCCCAGACCAGAGCCAGAGGACCTCGGAAGCGATTGGCGGACCCGCGCGATCGCCGACCCCCGTTCTCAAATCCCCGACGCCGTGACTGCTTCACGACGTGGACCCCCAGGGAGGTCTCGACCCACTTCCCGGGACCGGCTCTCCATCCTGAGCCATGTTTCTTCCAAGGGGCACAAGGGCACACAAATAAATACACACACGTAAAATGATGCCCCATAGTTTCTCATAGTTTCTGGGCATTTGTCTTCCCTCCCAATTCCCATATCTTCCCGTATTTTCTTGGGGCTTGACGATTCATTGTGTCTGTGTGTTTTTTCCCCTCCTGCTTCTGGAAGGGCCCCGAGCCCCGAGGCTCGCGGGGCTGGCAGCAGGGCCGACAGCAGCGCAACGCCGCCCGCCGCGACCTCTCTCCCTGCCTCGGGGAGGCCCTGGGCTGCTCGGGTCGGGCGAAAGGGGGGGGGATAGCAAAGGGGGGGGCGTTTGAGAATCAGCTCACGCAGCTGACTTTCCCGGCGCCTCCCTGCCTCGGGGAGGAGGCCTGGGCTGCTCGGGTCGGGCGAAAGGGGGGGGGATAGCAAAGGGGGGGGTTGAGAATCAGCTCACGCAGCTGATTTTCCCCGCGGCGCCTCCCGGCGCCGGAGGCGGCTATACGTATCGAGGCATGGGCCCCCTGGGTGAGGCCGAGGCCAGCTGCACGCAGCCAATTTCCCTGACCTTCCAGGAGGGCTACAAAAATGGCACGCGACTTACAAACCTATCCCAGAGCTATTCAACGTCTTGGTTTTAGGCTGTTTCGTTTCGTGTTTTAGGTTTTTAGGCCTCCCGTGCTAAAAGATAGCTCTCTGGAAGGTCAGGGTTCGTCCCCTTTCCCCATCCCCCCCGTTCGCCCGGCCCGAAAGTTGCGGGAGCCCCGAGAAGCCCGCCCGAGGTCCTCCGCCCTGGGCGCGCCGGAGCCGCCGAGGCCCCCGCGCCCGCGTGGCCCCGCGGGGCCCGCGCGCGGCTCGGCGGCGGCGTCCTCGCCCAGCGCGCCGAGCCCGACCTCGGCGTGCGCCGAGGGGGGGGGGGCTCGAGAGGCGCTGCGCTCCTCCTCCTCCTCCTCCTCCTCCTCCTCCTCCTCCTCGTCCTCCTCCTCCGCCTCCTCCTCCTCCTCCTCCTCCCCCTCCTCCTCCTCCTCCTCCTCCTCCTCCTCCTCGAGACCAGGAGCCCAGAGCCCCCTCGCGTCGTCGTGAGTCTTCGTTGTGTTTGCCAGGCCGCGGGGCCGCGCAGAAACTACCGAGGGTCAAGAAAGGGTTCCCGGGAACGGGTCGAGACCTCTGGGAGGTCGACGTTGCGAAAAAAAACATGACGTCGGGGCCAGTAATCGAGGGAGCAGTAGACACCCCTCTACCCTCATAAGAAGCACCGGACGAGCGAAGCCGTTGGGCTAACGCATCTTAGGGAGGAATCGAGCAGGGCAGGGCTGTTTAGCAAACGCCCAGGACCTATTCGTAAACGCCACTTGTGGGGGTCGGGTCAGCATGGGGGCAGAAAGACCCAGACCTCCTCGCGTCGTGAGGAAAGCCAAGCGGGAGGTGCTGTACCATGTTCGGCCTGCGGCGGCCCTCGACAGGCCCCGTGGCCGTCAGAACACGACTCGGGATGCAAAGCTGGCCCTGTCAAAGGGTCGGGGTTTCGGGGGGTCTCGTCTTGAACCGATCGAGACGTCGCATGCCTGGGGAGGGGGGGAGGGGGGGCGTTTACGCCATGATCTGCGGCGCGCGCGCGAACAGCAGACGGCCACGGGGGGGCTGTGGGCCGTGTCGGCCGAGAGACGACGGGGCAATACCATCTGGGAGATGTCGTGGCCCCGGCCACGATTTCCACACTCGCCCCCGTCCTCACCTTTTCCTCGACGCCCAATGGTTTCGATTTCGTGGCCCCAGCCATGGTTTCCACACTCGCCTCCGTCCTCACCCCTTCCTCGACGCCCAATGACTTCCGGGTCATACCTTGGCCCTCTGGCAGCCGTTTGGGCCGATCCCGGCACCCCTGGCAAGCACTCGACGAGGCGCAGCTGCCGGAGCATCCCGAGGCAAGAAGACCTCCAAGAGCCACCGAACGCCTCCGTGGCAAAGATCAGAGAAACGATTTTTTGATGTTTCAAATGCGGGCTCCCAGGAAATCCCGACTCTTCCCCCAGGGCACGATGTTCATCCCGAATTGTTTTCTGACCCTGCGAGGCCCTCGACGCCGAAAACCAAGAAAATCCTAAGTGTAAACTTTCTTAAGACGTCGGATGTCTAGGAATCAATCGAGGAACGACAAAAAATATCGGAGGTCCGCGCGGATTTCTCAGATAGGCGCAGACCGTGGATGTCTGGGCGCCAACGAAGGCGTCCTCGCCCTACCCCGCAGACTGGGGAGACCTACCGATAGCGCCAATCCCCAGACCTCTCCCGCTGTGCATTATGACAAGAACTTCGAGGCGAATCCTGCGGTGACGATGAGGGCCTCCCAGGAGGCCTAAAAATTGGGAAAAGAGGAAAGGGTAGCGGTGTGGGTACATTTTCCTCTTCTGACTAACGTCTAGACACCGCTCGATCCTGGATCATCCCTCCTCGTCCTCTCGATCCTCGACTTCCAGCAAGAGCTCGCGACTCCCTGGTGGTGATCCCCGTGGCGCCGCCCGGTTCTCCAGAGGGAAAGATCATCAATGCTGCGTAAACGTGAACCGTCTAACCGACCCCGGGGGGCAACGATAGGGGGGGACCGGCATAGGGAGGGATACTTCGACCTGGAATCGACGATACATCGCCGATAGATCGGCGGTTGCCCCACGATAGTGAATCCGCACCTTCCTTGGCGGGTTGGTCCTATCAGACCCCTATCGGCGATCAATGGGCGATTGGGGGTCGATGCACCCCCCCTATGCCTATCCCCCCCTATTGTTGCCCCTGGCCCTATATCCCCATGACTGGTACCTTCTCCTCCTCTGAGGGATGCCCCCCCCGGGACCTCGGGCGCGCTGATCGTCCAGCTCCAGTCGCTCCCCCGCGCGCCGCTGGCCGCCCTCGGGGCGGCCGCGCCCGGCCCCGCAAACGCCGCGGCCGGCGGACCGCGCCGGTGCGGCTGCGGGCGCACGCCGCCTCGGGCGCTACTTACGGGGGGGGGGGGCAGCAGGGGCCAGGTCTCCGACGATGCGGTCTGGTCGGAAGACGTGGGCAGAAACAGGAGGTAGGCGTTAGGAGCAGATTGAGGTTGAGCCGGGCCACAGAATTACGTCAGGGAAAGGGGTCGGAAGCTCTGAGGCCGCGGATTGAACAAATGGTCGGAGGTTGGGGGGGGAGATCGCATGGAAACGGAGACCCCCCACCGGGAAATCGGCTTCGTGTTCGTGTTCGTGTCGTGCGTGCGGGCGAGGCGAAGCTGCGCGTGATCCTGCTGTAGCTAGGCCGAAGTAGGAGCGAAAGTCCGTTTCCCGTCCGCCGGTGGCCGGGAGGTGTCCTAATTGGGCCGGGCGGTGTCCCGGGCGTCCCGGCGCTAACGCATGTCGCTAATTCCATGATTCATTTTTTTCGGCGCCTGCGGCGGGCTTTCTTTTCCAATCCAGCTTATCTTATCCAATCCATCTTGTCCAATCCAATCCACCTTATCTTATCCAGCCCATCTTGTCCCATCGTATCTTATCCCACATAATCCAATCCACCCGACCCAATCCATCAATTCATTTGTTTCTGCGCCTGCGGCGGGCCAATTCAATCCATCATATATTATCCAATCCATGTCTTCCAATCCAACCCATCTTATCTCAATCCCCCCCAAACCTCCTTATCGCCCGCAGGGCGGTCGTATAGGTATCGGATGGTCTCTGGGTAATCGGGGGTGGGACGACATGTGCGCCTTTCGTACACCTTCGGGGCCCCAGGGGGCCCCTTTAGGGGCCCTTTCTTATAACCATCGGTTCCCCCCCCCCCCATGTGGCAGGAACTAAACTCGGCCTGGAAAAACTCGGCCAGGCTGAACTCGGCCAGCTGAACTCGACAAGGCTGATCTCCGATCTCGGCCAGACTGAACTCGACCGAGCTGACCTCGACCAGGCTGATCTCGGCCTGCTGATCTCGGCCGCACTGAACTCGACCGAGCTGAACTCGGCCCAGGTCGAGCTCAGCCTGGCCGAGCTTCGCCTGGCCTAGTCCTTCCTTTGTCCGGTGCCGCCCCCCAGTACGAAGCGCCCGCCCGCCCGCAGCGAGGCCGCCGCTGGCCGCGCCGTGGGGATCCTCCTCCTGGCGGGCGCGCGCAACCCTCAAGATATGGGCGCCGCCAAGCAGCAGACACAGCGCACAGCGACTGCCCTTTCTTGTATGACAGGCCTAGGGGTTGGCACCAACACCAATATCGCTGGTGTGCCTCCACCGAGGGAGGATGATCCCGATCTCGGTGATGGTGGTAATATTCTGGCGGCCAGGGTGACCGACATATTACCACCAACACCGAAATCTAGGATCCTCTTCCCCCTGCGGAGGCAACCCCCTTGTGCTGGTGCTGGTGCCAATTTCCAGGCCTCCGACCGTAACTTCCGGCCTCGAGGCCACCTCCCGGCGGCATCACAGGGCAGCGAGCCCGAGCCACGACGGCTCAGCGTTTTATTCGTGATCTTCGGCCTCCGGCGGCCCTCGCCCGGCCCCGGGGCCGTGAGACAGCTGCGCGGGATGGACAAGCCGGTTCCGGGCAAGAGGCCGTGGTCCCCTCGGGGGCCCGCGCCAGCCCTGGACTTACGTCGGGCGTGTCCCCCTGCAGGGGGATTCTCGACGAACAATAAGGTAGTACCCCCAAAAGAGTTCAAAAAGAATACGAAAATAGTTCGGGGAAAATTTTTGGAGTATGTTTGGACCTTCCTGGGGTATGTTTGGGGTATTCTTCGTCTTTCGTCGAAAATCCCCCTGTAGGGGGACACGCCCGACATAACCCTGGACATCTTCACGCCTGGGGAAAAAAAGACACAACGGAACAACAGGCCCCTGGCAGCTTCCTGCCTCTCCTGGCCCCAGCACCGCCCAGAACTGCCCACGATGACCAGCCGGTCCCTGGGCAGGGGTCAAGATCCTCAGTGGGTCCGCCACGAAACAGATGCCACGTCGGAGGAGGGGAGAAGTAGGACCGTAATCATGACATGGTCGGATTGGCTCAGGATGCTTCTCATAATGTCGAGAATCTCTAGCGGCCCTCGCTTGTGCAGCCCCTGTGGGACATCAGCAGCTCTCCGAAAGCCTGGAGAGCCTGGAACGCATCCTGCTCATGACCTCCTGCTCCTCCGGAGAAAGGGTGGCGCGATCGGCGTGGCCTTCCGAGAAGGCACGGGGCTCCACGGGGCGCCCTCGGGGCCTTCTCGGAGATGCCCACGTGGTCTTCTGCGAAGGCCCCCTTCGAAGAGGAGAGGGCCTCGGATCCAAACGTCCGATATCCTGTACTTCGTGTTTCCATGAAAAGGGTCCCCGGAAGTTCCGACCGTTCCCCAAATGTTGCATCCCGAGTCGTGTCTGGTGGTCCTGGAGCCCAGGGAGGGCCCCCGGCAGGCCGAAGAAGGCAGCGAACAGAAGCCCGCCTCGTCTGTTTCGATGCGTCGGGCGTCGGGGGAGAAGGCCACTGACTCCTGGGAAGCTTCCAGGTAAATCGGCGATGGGCCCACGCCAGCGGATCCACGGGCTCCTCGGCGGGATGGGGCCATCGGGTGCTCTACCGGCGATGGGTGAGCGGTTGGGCGTCGGCCTATCACCTCCTATCGCTGCCCCTTGGTTTTCGGGCCAGCAATCGGCTTCCTGGCAGCCGTTCGGGGTTGGGTGGTGAACGCGTCTGATGTGTTCTGTCATGTTCTGCTCTCGTAGTCCGTTATGTGTTGCTATGGTGTGAACAATGTTGTCACGATACGTTGTGTCATGGAATGTTCTGTCACGTTCTGGCATGCTATGTTCTGTGGTGCGCTGTTTTCGTTCATTCTGTCATGTTCGTCGAAGGCGCGGGTGGCGGGAACTTCGGGGGACACTCGGGGGGCCTGGGGAATCTGGCGGCCGCGGTATGCAGGGTGGGCTGGTCGGGAAGTCTGTTCTTAAAATGTAACGGCCCCAGCCTGTCGGGTGGCGCCTGCACTGAGGTGCGCGGCCGTGCTCTCACGCCTGCCGCCAAAAGCCGACCTCCGACTCCTCGGCCCGCCTCTTCGCTTATGCCGCTCTAGCGCTGCTTTGCTGGGGTACTCGGGCCTTTTGGTCGGTTCTCGGCGGGCTTCCCGCTTTGGGATGCGTTCCAGCAGCTGCGCTTCGCCAGAAACGTTTCAGGGGTGACCGGATAGGCTGAGGTCGTTCGCACCGGTTGCGTGCTCATACTGTGTACGCGCTCCCCCTCCCAGTCGGTGCCTTGCCCTGCATCACAATACGCGCTAACCCAGCTAAACACCCATCCATCGGGAAATAGCCGCGAGGAGAAAGCCAGAAAGCCTCGAGAGCGGACAGCAGAGCGTTGTGTACTAGACCTTGCAGCAATCGACGAACAATGGGTAGCGACCAAATGCCACCTAAGGAGAAAAAGGCGGCCTCGCAACGTCTAGCAGCCTGGCGTTTGAGCGCTACCTCGAAGAGCAAGATGGTGGCCCGAATACCTGGCGTCCTCTTTTGGACCCCCCCGCAACACCGAAACGCTCAGCATCGTGGAGCAGTTTGCGAACATCGTGCGAGCCCGCCCTCGAGAAGTAGAACAAGAAGTCTTGGTTTCTCATGTTCTGGACCGGGCCGAAATCCGAGAGGTATCGTTGAACGGGCCATCGGCCTCGGAGATTTTTTACAGGGAATCGGCAGAAGTCATAACCTCCGTCGCAACGGTAAACCTGTTCAGGTCAGCTGCGCATTCTAAGAGCGACAAGTCGGTCTGGAGGTTGCCCCACTTCCCCTTCATAGCCTTCGCCAGTAGGTTTTTGGCCCCTGCGGGGCCCGCGGCAATCACCTCCTGCCCGTATGCCCGAATCCTTCGCGACCCGTCTCCGAAACTCGTCAGAGCTCGGGGCTGCACGGCGCGCTTTTACCCTGACTTCGAGCGTCGACCTCGAGGGCATCGTCTCGGTGTTCTGGCCCAAGCAGTCGCTCGGGGTGCGGGTGGTCGACGTCGTGAGCGGCGACGGGGTCCAGGCGACCAGCGAAGAGGTGAAGGTCGAAGAGGTGGACGACGACGACGCGGAGATCGAGGCGGAGCTGGCGGCGCTGCAGGCGCCTCGGGCCGTCCTGGAGCTCGGCGGCGAGGACGAGGTCGACCGAGAGGCCTCCGAGGGGCTCGGCGGCAGGGGCTGCAGGCAGGCGCCCGAGGCGGGCTCGCAGCTGCCCGCGCCCGCCCTGAGCAAGAAGGCCAACAAGGAGGCAAAGGCGGCGCTGGACCAGCAGGCCGCCGACGAGGCCGTGGCGCGGGCCAGAACGCCGGATGCGCCGCGCTCGAGGCTCGGCTGGCTGCAGCCCGCACGGCGGGGCCATGAAGGAGGCCTCCTCCTGAGGCCGCTGGCCTTCCCTGCGCCTCGGGCGCGAGGGTGGGTCGCGTCGGCATCGATCGGCGCGCTCCTGCTTCGCTCTCATCTCATCATCTCCTCCTCCTCCTCCGCCTCCTCCTCCTCCTCCTCCTCCGCCTCCTCTACCTGCCGACGACGACGACTTCGACGTGGAGGCTGGGGGGCGCACCCGCACGGGGCGCGGGGAGCGACGCGGACGACGACGACGACGACGACGACGACGACGACGACGACGATGACGACGACGACGATGACGGCGGCGGCGGCGGCGGCGACAACGACGACGACGACGACCGATACGCCGAAGCAACCTCTCGCTGCGCGCATACCGCACCCGCGCAGGCTTGTCCCCCTGAGCGCGGCGCCCACTCCCGCGGGTGCCAGTCGTCCGTGCCAGCGCCCGATTCTGGATTTCTGGGAGCTCACGGGGTCCAAGGTTGAACTACACATCCGTCGTCTTCGGCTTTACCAAAGTTGGGCTGCTGATCCTGAGGGGGCATCCCCGGTCCTCATCACGCATTTCGGGTCTCAGGAAATTGATTTCTACCGTCCTCCGGGTCTGGGAGGAGAGCTGACGCAGTGGGCCTCGCCGTGGGCCCGACAGGTGGAGGAGGACTCAACTTCAGCAGCCTAGCTTATAGATGAGCAGCGCATGGCGCATGGAGGACATTGCCCATGACTTGAGGATCCTGACCGACCGAGATAGGAGTCTGAAGTTCCTGGCCACCGACATGACTAAGCTTCGGTCGAGGGTTTTTTCGGTGGCGGTCCCACCCCCTGGTCAAGTCGAAGCAAGCCCCGGGACATCGTTTGCCGCGCCTGCCGTTCTTGAGGGCCCCAGTTGGAGCTGTAGTGTACCAGGCTGTGCTAACAGGTCTCACACGAGGAAGCACTTACTGAACCACCTTCGCCTTGCGCATCATCGACGTAATCCTTCGGCAGTGCCCGTACCGAGAAACCTTTGTATCTGCTGTAAGGCACTCTTTCGTGATCGGTGGTGTGCAGCGAAGCATTGGGAGACGGCTGTGCTCAACAGTACCTGCCCCGTGGGACTCGGCCTCTGGTGCAACCCAGCTCGTGCTCGCGTCGTCTCTGCCAGAGTGAACAGGCTGCCCTTGACGGACTCTGTATCGCCATTTGGTTCGGCAGCACCTTCCAGCTCACGCGATGACGCAAACAGCAGCACCTTCCAGCTCACGCGATTACGCAAACAGCAGCACCTTCCAGCTCGCGCGATTAGGCAACCAGCAGGTCGAGCTCATGGGGATGTCGCAGGGGCAGGGCAGCGCAGATGTACCCCTGCCAGCGTGGCTCCAAGGCAAGAGGCACCGCCTCGAGGCCAGCGCCGAGGGCGACGCGAGGGAGGACGAGAAGGACAAGAAAGACGAGGGCGGCCAGGAGACCAACGAGGGCAGGGGCGGCAAGGTCAGCGTCCAGGCCTAGCTCGTGACCCTGTTGGCGCGCCTCGTCACGCTCGAGCGGGACGTGGCAGAGTTGAAGCCAACGGTATACGAATACGCAGTGCTCCCAGCCGTCAACGCTCTAGTGGAGGCCTGCGTGCGCGCGGGCAAGGAATACAACAACACCAGCAAAGACATGAAAAAAACGCAATCCCAGGGCGAGGCTCAGGACTGGCCAGGCCGCGGGAGTCCACATCTGCACATCTTCATGAAGTTCATGATCGCCGCTTGCTCGCTGTTCACGGAGAAGAAGGACGATAACGAAGGTCGTGGTGGTCAAGGCCCTCACGGACATCCAGGCCGTGCCCCTGCGCGACCTGGGGATCATCGTCTGCGTCTTACGTGTGCGCCTCCACAAGATCAAGGACGGCGAGGAGCACGGGCCACTTCGAGTGGGCGATGAATGGCAAGTCTCCAGCGGGTCTCGGCCTTCACGGGCTGATGGGCAAAATCATGGAGCGCCTATCAGCGGAGAGGATGTCAGGCCCAGCCCCGCGGGGGGCCCTTGGCGAGGGAGACCATCGGCCTGAGCAACAAGAGCTGAGCCTCCCTCGTCGCCAGGCGCTGCTCTGGAGTGAGAGGCTTGCTGAGTCAGTGCGCCAGCGCATTGTCTCGGCAGATGTGGTGCCCGCGCCCCATAGGGGATATCGTGCCTCTGGGGGTGCTGCTTGGGCCCGTGCCCGGATAGGGGAGCGCGCGGTTGGCACCATGTGCACACGTCGGCGACATTGCCGCCCCCGCTGAGCTCTCGGAGTCGCGGACACGTTCCCCCTGCAGGGCTCCACGAGCTTGTCTTGTCTTGCCTCCTTCCTCCCCCTCCTCCTCCTCCTCCTCCTCCTCCTCCTCCTCCTCCTCCTCCTCCTCCACTTGGGCGCCCCCCCCCCTGACCCACGCGCCGCCCCCCTGCTGTGCGCGCCCCCGTCCTCCGCGCCGCCGTCGGCCGGGGCGGGCCGCGGCTGCAGGCGCAGGGGCGGTTTCCGCACGGCCGCCGACGTCGCGATGGGCTGCGTGGGGCCCGAGCTGTTGCTGCGGGGCATCCTGGGCCGGGTCGGACGCGAGGAGGAGCAACGATACGCATTGGGGTGCAGCGACCTGGGATCGGCGGTACGCCGATCGATCGGCGATGGGCCCTCGATAGCGGGACCGCACCCTTCTGAGCGGGGTGGGGCCCTCTGGCCCTTTTGTCGCCCCTCAATGCCTATCTTCCCATATCGTTGCCCTTCACGGACGGGGGGGCCTGAGATCCTGGCCTTCTGATTTGTCCCAACCCTCCTATGGTTGGGTACTCGTTTTGAATACACCAGTGTGGTCGCCCCGTCCTCCTCCTCCTCCTCCTCCTGCTCCCCTCTCCTCCCCTCCTCCTTCTCTCAAGTGTCCTGTGTTCCCTTCTCCTCTTCTCTTGGGCATCTGCGCAACTGTCGCCACTTTCGTGGGCTCCTGGGAGGCCCAGCGGAGGTACGTCCCACACGGACCACCTCGGGACCTCGCCGCCCCCTGGGGGGCTTGCGATCTACGCAACTGTCGCCACTTTTGTGGGCTCCTGGGAGGCCCAGCGAAGGTACGTCCCACGCGGACCACCTCGGGACCTCGCCGCCCCCTGGGGGTCTTGCGATCTGCGCAACCGTCGCCACTCTCGTGGGCTCATGGGAGGCCCAGCGGAAGCACGTCCCACGCGGACCACCTCGGGACCTCGCCGCCCCCTGGGGGGCTTGCGATCTGCGCAACTGTCGCCACTTTCGTGGGCTCCTGGGAGGCCCAGCGGAAGCACGTCCCACGCGGACCACCTCGGGACCTCGCCGCCCCCTGGGGGGCTTGCGATCTGCGCAACTGTCGCCACCTTTATGGGCTCCTGGGAGGCCCAGCGGAGGCACGTCCCACGCGGACCACCTCGGGACCTCGCCGCCCCCTGGGGGACTTGCGATCTGCGCAACTGTCGCCACTTTCGTGGGCTCCTGGAAGGCCCAGCGGAGGTATGTCACACGCGGACCACCTCGGCACCTCGCCGCCCCCTGGGGGGCTTGCGATCTGCGCAACTGTCGCCATCCCACGCGGACCACCTCGGGACCTCGCCGCCCCCTGGGGGGCTTGCGATCTGCGCAACTGTCGCCACGTTCGTGGGCTCCTGGGCGGCCCAGCGGAGGTACGTCCCACGCGGACCACCTCGGCACCTCGCCGACCCCTTGGGGCTTGCGATCTGGCAACTGTCGCAACTTTCGTGGGCTCCTGGGAGGCCCAGCGGAGTTGGGTCCCACGCGGACCACCTCGGGACCTCACCGCCCCCTGGGGGGCTTGCGATCTGCGCAACTGTCGCCACTTTCGTGGGCTCCTGGGAGGTCCAGCGGAGGTCCGTCCCACGCGGACCACCTCGGGACCTCGCCGCCCCCTGAGGGGGCTTGCGATCTGGGCGGCTCCTGGGAGGCCCAGCGGAGGCACGTCCCACGCGGACCACCTCGGG